CGTGATGGCGAAGATCCTGCTGAAATGTGCCCAGAGACGTTGAAAGTCATCGTGGAAGGACTTTTCCCGAAGCACGACCCAACGACCTGGCCACCTACACCGTACGGAGAAGGAGAGGGAGATAACATCGAAATCAGCAACGAGAAACTCGTATCAGTGGCGAAAGGATTGAAGGTGAAAAAAGCTCCCGGTCTGGATGAAATCCACAACGTAGCCAGAGTTGCGACCTACCACAATCACCATCATCAAACAGCTGATGGTAGTAACGCTTTGTACATTCCTATCAATGTGCTCGTCGAAGCTCTCTCCATGACCATCAATCAAGTTGACGAAAGAAGTAAAAAGAATCTGGTGAATGTCGTCTTCTGTTGTGATCCATCACCGATCTGGTCATTCCTGTCAATCACGACACTCATCTGTGCTCGTTTTGAAGCAGTTGCTGCTTTGCTTGCTTATGTGAGTGTGTTGGTGAGTGAGCCCAACAGCTTCCTTTTATTGTTGCCTGCTTTGTTTGTAACTCACACTCTCGCGCCTGCCGAGACGAACTTGGAATGCGCAGGCATTGTTTTCATTTTCTTCTGTCGTTTCGCTTTTTATCATGATCGTACTGCAGAAGTCTTCACTGTTTTCGTTGTGCTTTTCATTATCAGCAGCGAGTGTAACGTTTTGCTTGTGAGCAGCGACCATTACTGGTGATTGTTGTTTGCCATGGCTCTAACTCTCACTGCGTGACAAAACGATCTGTCAGCGATAGTCGGATGATGCGAATACGAGTGTCACGTGAGTGTTATGATATTTTGCATCACTGAACGTAGCGTTGAAAGTGGCGATCCAGGCGTTCCCGGAAATGTTCAGGATGGTGCTGCAAAAATGCCTGGACGAGGGTCACTTCCCTGACAGGTGGAAGATACAGAAGCTAGTGTTGCTGCCGAAACCAGGAAAACCAGGAAAAAGCCTGCTGGATACACTCCGAAAACTTTTGGAGAGGATCATCCTAAACAGGCTGACGAAATGCACGGAGAGTGAGCACGAATTGTCGGAGAGGCAGTTCGGATTCTGGAAGGGGAGATCGACAGTGGATGCATTTCGGACAGTGGTCGAGAGAGCCGAGAAGGCATCCAAACAGAAGTGGAGAGGAGATCGATATTGCGTCGTTATAACGATCGACGTCAAGAATGCGTTCAACAGCTCCAGCCTGGAGGTCATCGCCGAAGCGCTGCATAGAATGAGAGTCCCTGATTACCTGTGCAGGATCCTGAGGAGTTATTTCCAGAACCGGGTTCTGGTCTACGAGACAGCGATCGATTAGGATCACAGCGGGAGTTCCACAAGGCTCCATCTTTGGTCCAACGATCTGAAACGGGATGTACAACGGCGTGCTAACGCTGAAGCTGCCCAAAGGAGTTGAGATTGTTGGCTTTGCAGACGACGTCGTCTTGACGGTAACAAGCGAAACGCTGGAAGAGGTCATGCATCGACATGATTGGTAACTGGATGCAAGGAGTGAAGCTGCAGATAGCCCACCACAAAACGGAAGTGTTATTGGTCAGTAACTGTAAAGCGGTACAGAGGGCAGAAATCACTGTCGGGGAGCACGCCATAGCTTCGAAACGTGTATTAAAATACCTGGGAGTGATGATCGATGACCAGCTAAACTTCAACAGCCACGTCGAACATGCCTTTGAGAAGGCTTCGAAGGCCATCAACGCGATAGCTAGAATCATGCCGAACAACGCTGGTCCCAACAGTAGCAAGAGGCGTCTTCTGGCCAGTGTGTCGTCGTCGATACTTAGGTATGGAGGTCAAGCCTGGGTTCCAGCGTTGGAAACGAAGCAGAATCAAAGGAAACTGAGCAGCACGTTCCGGCTCATGGCCATGCGAGTCGTGAGTGGGTATGATCCCTATCGGAATCACCCTGGCAGAGGACAGCGAGTGCTACAGGCGGAGAGAGGCCGGAAGAGTACGGAAAGTTGTGAGAGCGGAGTTTTTGGCTAAGTGGCAACAGAAGTGGAATACGGCGGAGAAAGGTAAATGGACACATCGACTAATACCGAATCTTTCGACCTGGGTGAACAGAAAACACGGAGAAGTCAACTTCCACCTAACGCAGTTCCTGTCTGGCCATGGCTGCTTCAGGAAATATCTGTATCAGTTCGGACACGAAGCGTCCCGAGCAAAGTCTCTGATCAAATTGAAATCTAAATTTGATGTTGTGATTTCGCTGATAATGATTGGTCGTTTTGATACTTTTAACGGTTAAAATATCAAAATTGAGAGCAAAAAAATCTTCCTGTGACATCACATTGGACTGAAAACTCAATTTGATATCAATTTTTCCTGTTGATAACAAAACCAGTATTCAATTTGAGCCAATGAAAACAAGGCCGCAACAACATATTTTTGAAGAGCAAATGTACAGCAAAATGAAAACAAAATTTGGCATCAAATTTTTCAATAGCATAAACTGAAATCAAATGAGGATTTGAGTTTGATGTTGATATCACAACTTGATTTCAATTTGCTGTCATTTTAATGCTGAACTTTGCTCAGGTCACCCCTCTGTCCAGAGTGTGGCAACGTGGATGAAACGCCGGAGCATGTGGTCTTCGACTGTCCAAGTTTTGAGATAGTGCGAAGGGAGATGCCCGTCCTTAACGCGGAGAATGTCGTCAACGAAATGTGTCGAGAGGAGGGTGCTTGGAATGCCGTCAACAGAGCAGTCACGCAGATTATGTTGGAGCTAAATGGAGAGAAGATCAGCGATCCAGCAACGCCAGTTAGCGTATCAGAAGTACATGAGTACAGCCACCCCCGAAGTAGTCGCTTCACAGTGGTCCCGGGGGGATCCAGGCAGAGGAGAGAGTAAGGAATGGGTTTTAGTGGAGCTGCACTAGGCAACTAGTGGATACCACACCGTGCCAACTTCACTACAGGCCAGGCTTCTTTAAACTTTCCTAAAGCTCACTCTAAAAAAGAAACATTCACATACACTCGGATACCTAGACATTTTCCAAATATGTCCAACTATGATGCATTTTTAGGTCCAACCATGATTCAAATTAATTGCTGAATAAAAACGTTCAATTACATCTTATTTTTAAAAAATCAATTCTTCAGTATTATAAGAAACTAGAAAGGTAGACTTTTTCATTTAGCCTCAGTGTGAAAATGACTTAAATAGGTCCAACCAAAATCCATTGCCCTACATTATCTTGATCGGAATCGGTGATTTTCATTCCCTACTCTTCACCTTTCGGAGATTAAGGTTTACAATATCCCGGTACATATTATTTACAATAATCTATCAAGGGGGAGAATTGTAGTGAAATTAGTTTACCCTACATTTATGCTTCATTATAATGTATATGGGTCATTCCAGCTCAAGTGGGTACACCACCTCCACACCAATCCAGGGTTGTAGCCGAGAGGGATCTAGGCACTTCAAAGCAAAATAAAAAAAGGCGTTTGTTCATAATTCCAAAATAAGCATTTTCGCCAATTTTGGCTCAAATCGGTGACATTGATCACAACTTTTGTAAATTCTGTACCCACTTGAGTTGGAATGACCCATATGTCATTATAACATAAATGATTTTGGAACATAAATAGAGATAGGGATATTGAACGAAGTTACTGATGAGAAAAATAGTTATGCCACCCGTATCTTGTTGAAACTAACAACTGCTTCTACACAATCTGCTTCATTTTATTCGAATTCACGTTTGCTCATCCAAACACTGCCACCAACTGACTTGACTTACTATCTGATTTTCAGTGGTGATTACTAATTAAGTGATTCATTCAGTGCCGCATCTCCGAACGCTTTATTCTATAATTAAGCTGTCCCAACCGTATATATCCTGTGAAGTGTATAAAACAAAAAAAAGGACAAGCATACTCACGAATCAGCGTACTGACACAGGCAATCAGCGAGATGATGAACCCTCGGGACGGCGTCAGCACCCCGGAAGCGAGCAGTTCCAGCTCACAGTGCATCCCGGTGTAGCCCAGGGGGCACACGCACTCGAACCTTTTCGGCGGATTGTGATCCCGACAGCGGCCCCCATTCTGGCACGGATGCCACAGACACTCGTTACTGTTGACGCACTGCTGGCCTGACTTTTGGTATCCCGTAGGGCATCTGCTCTCCCCAAGATCACAACCAACCAACGAACCGACCAAACAAGCGTAACAGCAACATCAACAACATCGACCGTACGACGACACATTGGTACAATTGTGGGTGTTGTTTTTTTTTTTATTTGGTTTTTAATTTTCGTTCATGTCCGTGTGTTCAGCCACGGTTGGTTGTGAGTGTTGGTGGGCGTGGTGGTGGGTGGTGGAAAAATAGTGTGTGTATTTTGTACGGTGGCGCGGGACAAATAAAAAGTTTTGTTTGGTGCCATAAAAAGAGAAAAGAAGAAAAGAGAACGGAACAACATGAAACTTGCTACTCGCTACTACTTACCGACCTTAAAGGTACGGCCGCACTGGCATCCGATATCGGTACTCATACCGTCGCAAAGTTGCTGTCTCGTCCGATATCGGATGCCAGTGCGGTCGTACCTTAAAGCTAAAGTTTGTTCATCGCATCACCGTGGTTAGTTTCTTTCAGTCGTCGTATGTAAGGGGTGTGGGTGTGGCGGGATATTCTAGTGTTTCTGAAAGGCACTGAGTCTTACGTTTCCGTTCGTTCGGATAGAGTAATTCAAGATGATAATGAGAAGCAAAAATGGGAAAATCATGCAAATACTACCATTCTACAAACACAGAAAACAGCATGTGCTTATACATATTCATCGATGTAATATTTACAGCATAAAGGAAGCACACGTCGTGAACAGCCAAGCAGAACTCAACCAAATCAATATAATGAGCGATCGAAAACAACCAAACAAAAGATAAAATCCGCAACCGAACGGCAATTCCCGCCGACATCGAATGACTAAATCCGCATGGAAGCTGAAAAGTTTATGAAAATCAGGAAAAAAAATGCTCACTCAATATGATTAGCAGACACACAAGAATGGCGGCCAGGGCGCCCATGCTCAGCTTCAGCGTCTGTCCCTCCTGGATGAGTTCGCAGTTTTCGCCCCAGAATCCGTCCGGGCAGTCACAGCGGTAGCGCAACTTCGGTTCCTGATTCACGCAGACGCCCCCGTTCAGACAGGGCAAATCGAGACACTCGTTCCGATCCATGCAGCCTTTGCCGTCGGGCGACATGACACGGCCCTCGCCGCAACTGTTATCGATATGTTGTTAGTACGAAGTGAGGTGAGTTACAGATTGGTTAGCTTATATGGTAGGTAGGCTACATTATGAAAGCGGTACAATCACAGTCAGAGTAGCTGGGTGGGACTTTGATTGAAACTCTGTTTTTTTTTTTGTGGGGGCGGGGCGTCGTTGGGTGATGATAACATGGAGATACGACTAATTGTGTATGTGGGATGAAAAGCTTGTAGGCAGGTTTCAGAGAAACAATATCTCGGGTTGGAGCTTGTAGGAATGGGAACGCAGGGGGTTTATTGATGATGTCGTTCGTTTGCTCCATAGATTTCTACCCAGTTGAAATGAGATACACATATACCAATCAACTGCAAACTGAGGCAGGTTTTTTGATCAGTAATTAAATGAAATTTAACATTCATGACAATTTATATCTTTTTTCGTTGAAAGATTATTTAATTTCAATTTAAAATTCCACTGCTATGTAAGAACACACTATCATGTTAAATGCAACGCGAATTGGTGGATTTCTAAATACTTTCACTTAAAATTATAGTTGTATTATTGTCAGTGCTGTTGGTTTGGGTGGTGGTGGATAGCCATTGACTATTTAGCACTAGAACCAATAAAAAACCAATCAATTATCAATTGTACTGATGAGTGGTATTAATATCCTGGGTTGACATCGGGATGTAATAGTAAAATAACGTTTGTTCCTGTTGATTATGATATTACATTGCTGTAACATTTCAATTAATTAGTCTATTTGGATCTTCATCTTTGTTTTATTTGTTATTCTAATTAACGTATTCACGTTTACAGTAGTTTGCAGAATACCCCTCTGAAGACCTACCTAACTTTGAATAATTTAACCTTAGCAAGGTCGCGTATGATCTCATCTTTTGATCTTAGACAGGCGTCTCTGAACCTTTCGAGGATGAGCGTACTACGTTCCTCCAGTGACTAAAAACCCAGCCAAGTGGCAGTGATTGGCAACTGATCCAACCGGTGCGCACCGTGTGCTGGTTTGAGTTTGATAAATATTCCTGTGTAAATGTAAACGTGTCTCCTCAATCTTAGAAAAAAATAGATGTAAATTTAGGAGCTCTGAGACTGAAATTTACGAGCGTCAATTTTGACATAAAATTGAGTCATAATAGACGCGAAATTTAGCTCGTACTTCTCGTCGAGTACCGAACTTTTCAGTCTCGGAGTACTTAATATTACATGACAAGATAGATTCCGTCACATGTAAGATAAGGTATTTCTAAGTGTGCTGGTTCGGTTGAGTTTTCGTGTACCCGGTGTTCTAAACCAAAACCGACCGCCGGATTTAGTGTGGATGTACAGAACCACAGCTTGAAAACCGACAACCGGTGTGCTAGAATTTTGGTTTTGATTCACGAGATCTGAACCGTGTGCATGGTACAATTCTATGAAACCAAAACCGGATATACCGTTCTTGGTTCAGACCAGTGACAAGAATGAAATAGCTGTGCTCCCAAATCGGCGAGTAAAATATTTGCACAAAGCGACAGTTGTTCTTAAAAAATGTCACATATTTTGATTGACAATATTGGTAGCGAAGAAACGGGAATTCATTTTCACGTCTGACAAATAGTAAATACCCGTTAAGGGGCTATTCATAAACTACGTAGACAGTTTTTGGGGCTATTGACCCCCCTCCCCCTGCGTAGACAATTGTCCATACAAAAATTTTAAAATTTGTATGGGTTGTGGATAATTGTCAACCCCCCCTAAGCTGTCTACTTAGTTAATGAACAGCCCCTAATATGGGTAGTTTAGGAATCGTGATGAAGCCTACAGTCCGGAAATCGATCACCGATGCCATAATCCAATATGGCGACTTCCAGTTTTTTTTAAACTGGGAAATACTATCAAATACCATTCAATAGGATTTTTTTCGGATTCGGAATGACGTTTAGAGCCTGGAAATCGATATTTGACGCCATCTTGAAATCCAAGATGGTGACTCCGGTTGTAAAAACAGCCAAATACTGTCAAATAACCTTCAATATGTGATTGGCAACTGAACCAACTGGTGCGCACCGTGTGCTGTTTTGGGTTTGATAAATACTCCTGTGTAAATGTAAACGTGTACCCTAAAACTTAGAAAAATTGATCTAAATTTAGGTGCTCTGAGAATGACATATACGAGCGTCAATTTTAACATAAAATTTAGTTATAATAGACGCGGAATTCAGCTCAATCAAACGTAATTTCGAACTTTTCAGTCTCGGAGCATTTTATTTCACATGACATGTTTGTGTACGTCTCATCCTTTATGTCAAAGATGGATTCCGTCACGTGTAAGATTATGTATTTATAACTGTGTGGGTATTTTCGGAATCAGGATGACTTATGTATAGAGATTGAAAATCAATGTCCGACGCCATCTAGAATCCAATATGGTTGCATCTAAAGGGTGTCCACGATGAAATTTCCACACTATGAAATTGCTCTAACTTTTTAACCGTTGGGTAGAATTTAATGAAAATTTGGGTGGATTTAGTTCATAGTGCATTATTTACATCCTGCAAGTTTTAAAGTCCTGTGATCAAAACTCGCGGAAATGGAGTCGAAAGAACAGCTCGTGCGTGATAAAATCTTGCGCATTCATCACGAGAACAAGGATCTCTCGCATCGTTCCATCGCTAAAACGTTGGGAATCGCGAATTCCACGGTGTCGCGAGTGATTAAGCGGTTCGAGGAACGGAATCCCAGAAGTGAAGGAAAAAGTATTCCGTACAACACCAAAAATCACAACCGCGTAGTTGGGGCCTTCAACCGAAATCCGAACGCCTCCGTTAGGGATGTGGCTAAGAAGCTGCACCTAAGCCGAAGTTTTGTCCAGAAGGCCAAAACTAAGGCTGGGCTTCGAACGTTCAAGGTACAAAAGGCCCCTAATCGCGACGAGAAGCAGAACAAGTCCGCCAAAACCCGTGCCAGGAAGTTGTACCTCAACATGCTGACGAAAGTTGAATGCTGCATCATGGACGACGAAACATATGTGAAGGCCGACTTCAAACAGATCCCCGGCAACCTGTTTTTCACGGCCAAGGATAAGTTCAGCGTTCCGGAGCATGTCCGCACTCAGAAGATGTCCAAATTTGCGAAGAAATTCCTGGTTTGGCAAGCCATCTGCACGTGCGGGAAGCGGAGTGCACCTTTCGTGACCCAGGACACGATGGACGGACAGGTGTACATAAAAGAGTGCCTCCAGAAGCGGTAAAATGGTAAAATGGTAAAATGAAGTTTAATAGTTATTTCTCAATCTCTGAAAATTTGATGGCAATCGGATGAAAACTCGAATTTTGCGAATCAATTTTGTGTGTGGCAATTTCATCGTGGACACCCTTTAGTTGCAGAAAACTGGGAAATAGAGTCAAATACCCTTCAATATGGGTATTTTCGGAATCGGGATGACGTATAGAGATCACAGGACTGCAACGCCTGTCATCTACGGACAACTCGAGTGAAGCCAAATTTCTCTGGAGCTCTGGTGGTAATTTGACATGTTCTCCTTTTCCTCTATTAAGCTTTGTACATGTCACGCTTCCTTGCGAAAAATAGAGAAAGTAGTAAAATATGATTCACGAAAATTGTGCCCGTCAATTCGAAAACAGCTAAATCAATTTTTAATTGACCTGACCTGATGCCACCTTGAAATCCAAGATGGTGGCTTCAGGTTATACACAAAATGGGAAATCTGTCAAATACGACTAGAGTGACTAGAGAGGGTCTAGTATAAGCAGGGCTGGAAAGCACCTCAGAGCGTTAACAAAGCAACTTTGTGCATGCATCTCACAACACAAGGTACACTCCGTGCGGCGCAGGGAGTGAATATAATACAACAAGCGCTAATGTCTTCTTTGAATTCTTTGCAGACTTTGCTTACCACGACTGCATGCATAGGAGATGAAGAAGAGCATAACGAAGAATATTTTTTCCTTTTTGCTGGGTTTCCCATTTGCAACCCTACCCAGAGTGGCGCTCTTTGCGATGGCTACACATTGAGCTTTCTTTATTTCTGGGTGTGTGTCTGTCTTCTCTTCTCCGCTGCTTTACACTTGCGCAGGGTGAAAGACAAGCGAACTTTGTGTTTGCTTGATTCTCACTTTGTTTATTTCAGAAAATCAGTACATTGCGCACATTGAGTGATCAGATGACAGCCCTGAGTATAAAAGAGGAGCGGATTCAAAACAAACTACCTTCGCAACCTATGCCTAGGTGATTTCTAGCAACCAGAGCCCAAGAAAGTCATTTTCAATTGAAAATCGTCAAGCGATGAAAAAGCTGTCAACCATCACTTTCAATTGAAAGTCATTCTGTATTCCCTTCGAGCAGATCCACTTCAACATCAACAGAACCACTTTTGATCAATTTTCATGCTGTTTGTTTTGGCTTGACTCGTGTTCATTTCGTCTTTAATTGTCAAATGAACTTACTTTCGCATTGTAGCGAAGCTGTTCGATCTGTTCTGACTTTTGTTGATTGTTCACTCGGTTCATCGGATGTCAAATATATTATTGTCGTGTGGTTGGTTTTAGCTTCCATTCGTTTCCATGTTTTGCCGTCACTTTTACTATGGTGTTAAATGAAAGGGACAGAAGGAGAACAAAATGTAAAGTTTGAAACCATGCACTGATCTAAAGAGATCTCCAAGCGCAATCTCACGAACACTAAAATCCAACATCCATATATAAAAATGAATAAGAAGAAGATCCAAAAAGGTATCGCGATATCACAACTACCGGTTTAAAAAAAAAGTGGGAAATACTGACGCTGACCCATCGAAATTGGTGTTTTTGGAATCGGGTGACGTTTAGAGATCTAAGATGGCAGCTTCCGGTTTAAGAAAATGTGCGAAATAAATCAATATAGGTATTTTTGGAATCGGGATGACGTCTTGAGGCCGGAAATCGATGTCCGACGCCATATTGAAATCCAATATGGTGGCTTTCGATTTCATAAAAAAAAGTGTCAAATACCCTA